TGTGAGAAGTCCTATTTCACGTTGTTTAAAGGGGCTTGGACTTTAAACCTCTCCGCTCAGACTGGGTAAATTGGGTAAACTGAAGATACTGCAGTAATCTTGGTGAGATGTTTTTAAAATGGCACCACTGGGATCAGTGGGTGGCAACTAAAACTCACACTGGGAACATGTGAATGCATGTCCCAAATCCCAAGACAGTGGAGAAGAGGCTGACCAACCCCCCGCCCCACCCCAGGGGGGATTGATTTCTTGCTCTCTGTCTCTCCATCAAGCGCCCTCTATATCAAAAATCCTTAAGAAGAAATTGACAACATTATTGTGAGCTCAAGTCTTTGAAAGGCTGCATGGAATATACAGGACAGTTATGAGTGGGAAATAGGCTAATCTTTATCCGAGCCATTGCATTTTAGGGTCTTTTACAATTATCATTACCATACGGCCTAACTGATACACAGGGTATACACAGGCAGATGAAATAGAAAACTTCATATCCTCATAAATATTGCAATTTCAAATAATATGAAAAACAGCATTAGTTACAAAAATATAGAAATTAGAAATTTCTGTAACTAGTTACATTTCTTAAACAGAAAGAACTGATAAGTCATTTGAGGCCAATTAACAAAATCAGCAAAAAAACTACCAAGTAAAAATAGAAAGGGTACATGGAGGGACCAGCAAATGGTCTAATGGTTATGTCACTGGACTCCCATGTAGTAGTTGACCATAGTTCATGTCCCAGACTTGGTGGCTTAAAACTCACGCCAGGCACATGTGCATGCATGCTCAACCCCCAGGGGGTGATGTCTCACTTTGTCTATGTCACTCCTATAGCAAAAATCTCCCTCTAAAAAAAGGGTACATGGAAAAAGAACGTATGTGTCTGGAGTGTGTACGTCACATGCAGCTTTAAGACTGAGGTAACTGCACTCTATACACAACTTCTTATACCCTCGAAAAGCTAGCCCAAGGATAAAGGGACAGATTATAGACAATAAACCACAAATTACCTTCTTAGAAGTCACAAACTGGCAACAAGCAGATGAAAGCCAAAATGAGATTCTGTACATAAGAGAGTATGCTGAGACTGGGCCTGCAGGCAGTGTGGAGGTTGAGGGCGCTGGACTCCCACATGGCTGACCACGGTTCGAGTCCCAGACCTGGTGGCTTACTTTCTCACTCACTCTCTCTGGTCAAATTGGAAAGTAAGAATAATGAAAAATAAAGTTAAATAAAGTAATTCTTAAAAGAAAAAGATTATGGGAACCAGCAGTTAGCGTAATGGCTATGTCGCTGGACTCCCACGTAGTCGACCGTGGTCTGCGTCCTGGACCCGGTGGTTTCCCCCCTGGGGGGTGATTTCTCGCTTTCTGTCTGTATGTCTCTCTGTCCTGTCTGGCGAGTGCACGCGCCCTATAGTGAAAACCTCTCCAAAAAAAAAAGAGAGTATGCTGAGACCATATGGAAACAAGCACCTGGCAGAGGGGACTAAAAATTTAAAGTCATGGGGAACCAGCAGGAAGTCATGGGGAACCAGCAGGTAGCATGGTAGTTAAAGCGCTGGACACTCCCACATGGCCAACCACAGTTTGAGTCCCAGACCTGGTGGCTTGCTTTCTCGCTTTCCTTCTCTCCTCTAGCTCTCTATGTCTTTGGTCCAATTGAAGTCATGGGGAACCAGCAGGAAGTCATGGGGAACCAGCAGGTAGCATGGTAGTTAAAGCGCTGGACACTCCCACATGGCCAACCACAGTTTGAGTCCCAGACCTGGTGGCTTGCTTTCTCGCTTTCCTTCTCTCCTCTAGCTCTCTATGTCTTTGGTCCAATTGAAATATGTGAATGAAAAAATAAATAATTTTTAAAAAATTAATGAAAAAGACAAATGACGAAAGAAAAAATCCTGGGGAACCAGCAGTTGGCGTAATGGCTATGTCGCTGGACTCCCGCGTAGTCGACTGCAGTTCGCGTCCCAGACCCAGTGGCTTAAGACTCATGCCAGGTGCGTGTGTGCCCAAGATCCCAAGAGGAGAATGGAGAAGGGATTGCGGCGTGACCATCCCCTCTAGGGGGTGATTTCTCGCTTTCTGTCTCTATGTCTCTCTCTGTCTGGCGAGCGCACGCGCCCTATAGCGAAAAAACCTCTCTTAAAAAAAAAAAAAAAAAGGAAAAAATCCTGTAACTTATTCTATCACCCTCCTTCTAAGAAGCTACCGCAGAGCCCCTCGGTTCTCACAACACAAAGATCAGAGATAAAAAAAAAAAACATAGTTTCCCACAGCTACATTTATCTGCCTGCAGAGATAAGAAAAAAAAAATTATTGGTTTTCCAAAGTCATGTTTATCTATCTCAGAATTAGTGCAAAAACAACTGCTACTAAAAAGAGACCCATTTTTAAAAAAATTTCCAAAGTAAGGGTAAGAGAACAGCTACCCTCAGGTTTTGGAATGAGATAAGGCAAGGATGCACGTGCTTGGGCGATCCCTGGCTAGGTCTATGATCCTTGGCACGTTACGTAAACTCTATGGGAATCAAGTCCTCGTACCAGTAAAAAAAGTATTCCAACTCTAGCACCATCCAGAAATCTGCAATGACTTAAAACTGTGTTAAGTACTTACCATATGCCAAACACTCTAAGAAGGCATTACTACTACACCCTATTACACTCTGAACCCATGGGGTTTTCTATTTTTTATAAAGGATTTTATAGTTGGCATTACTTTGGAAGCAGCTCCAAGTTCCCTCTAAGGCAGGCTACATTACAGTGCAGTCTAGATTTGCCAACAGCTACGACAGGCACTTGTGCAGGTTACTTCACCTCTGCCACTGTAACGCCCTCATAGAAACTGGGCACTGAAATTCCCACCTACGTCATGGACTACATGTGACGCACATCTAGAAACATCATTTACTGAGGTTTAATGATGAAATCCTCACAAAAGCAGAACACAGTATTTTGGGTGCTAACTGTAGGGAGCAGACAGATCTGGGCAAAACACTAGTGACTTTTTAAAGTAGATATAGTATTTGTGCTGACACTCCAAGACAAGCAAAAGCTCTAACAAGGACATCTACTTTGGCATGGCAGGGCAGTGTAAATGAAAGGACGCTGGGTGTTGGGACCAGCAGACGGTGTACTGGTGATGTCGCTGGACTCCCACATAGTTGACCAGTTTAAGACCTGGACCTGGCGACTTCAAACTCACATTGGGCATGTGTGTATGTGTGCCTAAGAGCCTGAGAAGAAAACTGAGAAGGGACTGTGATGTGGACATTCTCCCTGGGGGGTGATTTCACGCTTTTTGTCTCTCTGGCAAGCACGTGGCACCCTATAGAAAAATTGCTCTTAAAAAAGAGAAAAAAAAGGAAGCTGTGTGTCAGAGGTGGTTTATTTAGAACCACGGGATGCAAGATGCTTCACAGCTGCGGCCAACAATAGAAAATACCTGGCTTTACCTTCTGCTTCTTCCTCCTCCCCCATTGCTCTATAAAATAAACCTGGAGGGGAGGGAGAAGAAACCTGGGAACAGCTCAGTGCTACTGTGATCTCATCAGACATGCCCGGTCTGCCTGATCCCTGCTTTTCTCCACTTGTCTGTCTGTTCTTGCCAAATCTGCCACCACTCCCACTGGGGGGAGGGGGCTGTCCCCACCTCTCCTTTGCCTTGCAGATCTCAGAAGTTAACAAAGCAGTATGTATGGGGGTCAGCAGGTGGCACGGTGGTTAAGGTGCCAGATTCCCACAAGGCCGATGGCGGTTCAAGTCCTGGGCCTGCAGGCCTGAAAATCACACACACCTGGTGTGTGCGTGTGCATACCCCAAATCTCAAGAGAATGGAAGAGAAGGGATTTCAGCATGGCCACCCCCCCTCCCCCCGCAGTGATTTCTCACTTTCCCTGTCTCTGGCAAGCATACATGCCCTATGGCAAAAAACAAACGGGGGGGGGGGGGGAGGGCGTGGAGGAGTCACAAACCAGCACCAGGTAAGCCACACAATCTATAAACAAGTATACTTTATTTGTTAAAAGAATGATCCTATTTAACTTTATTTATTTATTTTCATTCATTGGACCAGAGAGGGACAGAAACAGATGTGGGGCAGAGGGGCAGTGAGAAAGCAAGCCACCAGGTTCAGGACCTGGCGACTTGCTTTCTCACTCCCTCTCTCTGTTTCTCCCTGGTCAAACTGAATAATAAATAAATAATTCTTTAAACAAAAACAAACAAACAAACAAAAAAACAGGAAGTAGGGGCCAACAGATGACGTTGAAGGCAGCTGGATCCCACACATTCAACTGAGGTTCAAGTCCCAGACCCTGTGGTTTGTAAAACACACTGGAGAAACCAGCAGATGATGTAATAGTTACATGGCTGGACTCCTGTGTAGTCGACTACAGTTTGAATCCCGGACCCAACAGCTTAAAACTCACACCCGCCGTGTGTGTGTGTGTGTGTGTGTGTGTGTGTGTGTGTGTCCAAAATCCCAGAGGAGAATGGAGAAGGAATTGCAGCATGGCCATTCCTCCAGGGAATGATTTCTCACTTTCTGTCTCTCCAGTGAGTACATGCACCCTATAGCAAAAATTATCTTTGAGAGAGAGAGAGAGAGAGAGAGAGAGAGAAGGAAGGAAGGAAGGAAGGAAGGAAGGGAGGAAAAAAGGGAGGAAAGAAGAACTCACTGGGCACATGTGTACATATGCCCAAAATCTGGAGAAGAGAATGGAGGACAACGGGTTGCAGCATGGCCATCTCCAGGGTGTGTGTGTGTGTGTGTGTGTGTGTGTGTGTGTGATTTCTCACTTTCCTTCTCTGTCTCTCCCCAATGAGAGCACACATCCAAGGGCAAAAACCTAAAAAACAAAAAGGAAAAATACAGAGGGGCAGATTTCAGAAAGTAAAACATACAAATACAAGATCCATGGTCAGGAAAAGTTTTTACCTTTTGCTATTTCCCTATTTGAAAAGTACTACGCCAAAAAATAAAGCAATAAACACAGCTGGTTTTAAGGTAATGACTTTATTAATAAATATACATCCATATGATGATGTAGATACAAATCATGAACACTACTCCATTCCCATACACATAATTGCACACGAGTAGCTCAAGTTCATGGACATAAAAACATACACAGTATCTATTCAGACTTTTTACAGCAGAGGACAGCGTGCTTATTATCAGTTAATTGGTAATTATTCTCTCCATAATTATTTGTGTTTGAAAAAGGAAACTGTGAAAACTTAAAAGAATCAAAGTGGTCTGATTACTTTAAATCACACACTTGATTTACGATAGCATTAAATTTTCCAAAAATTAAATACATTATATGTGAGAGTACAGATTTATCTACTTGAGGGGAGGAAGGAGGAAAAAAGGGGAAAAGATTTAGATACATCCTAGAGTTTAATAGCATATAGATAAGGTATAATAAAAACAAAAACATAATAGCATCAACATTTTTTATGTCCAAGGAAAATAATGTTTTGTTGTGAAATTTTTTTACTTCACTATAAAGGGATCATAAAATTTTACTGCATACAGAGACAATGACTGACAGAGTAGCAGTTATCAATATCCCCTGAACTGTTCTTTTTAAAGCTTCACAAAATGTAAAAGAGAGGCTGAATTTTTTTTCTTTAGCTCATACACTGTGGTTATTCTTACACTGGATGGGTCATCTTTAACCTCATGAATAGATCAATTATGTTATCCTCCGTAACTCAAAGAAACTGTTTTTATTTCAAGAAAATATACATGTAAATTCACACAAACATCAGTTTGGAATATTTCTTTGACAGATGTTTCTTTTAAAAAGTAAATTAAAAATATAAACTTTTAGTCTAATTGAAACACTGATTTAAAAAATGTACCCAAATACTTCAAATTAAACCAGATACTACTTATTTTCTTCCAATATGTAGTGCCAGTATATGTATTTTTAAATCCAGTGCAAAACTCCAAAGATAGTATCAAAATCATCCCGTAGTAAAGATTAGTTATGCAAGGTAATATCTGTCAAAAAATGAAAACTTCATCTGTATTAGCTTCTTATTTGTTAATATAATAATAAATAAGGCATGTTAATATATGTTTTAAAGAAAAAAGTAAAGCAAACTTACTTGAATAGCAGATCTTTTTCTGACCAACAGTTTTAATATAGAATAGTGAAACCTAGTTGTGAAGAACAGAATTACAAAGTATAAAATTAGCAATTTACCTTTTGAAGAACAATCATACAGTGGAGGGAAAAGGCCAGTTTTCCCTACTGATTATATGAAAGTATAGGCAACTGTTAACATGCTATTTCAGTGTTTATCATGACAAGAGACAGTGTTACAAAAGATGCACAATGTAGTCTTTAGGTTATATAGAAGTAAAAATATTTTATATTTTAAGACTTCATCCATGTTATCACTTAGATGTCTTTCTCTTCAGCATGGCACCAGTAAACTGTTCACAAGGAGAAAAGTAAGTGGAAGCAGGAGATGCTCACCAGTGTACAGATCTAATACTCCAGGTAACTGCTCACATGAACAGTAAATTCAGCTTTCTAAATGGTGTTATCCATTCACAACGGCAGCCAGTAGCCCCTTTTTTTCCCTGGGACATAGCTCCTGATAATAAACACTGTTATGAGCATACCTCTTTTAGTTAATTTCACCATTTCATAAACATGTATACAAAATTAATTATACAATGATACACCTGCTTTTACCTTCTGACACACAGCACAGCACCACTGAGTAGATGTGCTGGAGGGAAACGAATACAGAAAAGGTACGGGGCAAGAGGGGCTATGTGTAACAAAATCAGGCATGAAAAGGAAACGTCAAATGGACTTACTATAAAACAACATACAACAAAATCCTTGACGATGGCATATATTATTCTACAGTACAACATTTAATGAAACTACCTTCAGACACTAGCTGGAAAGATTTCTAAGCAGCAAAATGCTAAACATCATCTTGAAAAACTGCTAAATGACAGATAAAGAAAAAAAGTGGAAGATTAACATATGAATAAAAATGCAAGCATTTGTGTGTCAGAAGTTATACTGTTCTGAGTAAATTATTAAAAAGTTTTATAGTTTAAGCTTCTGCAAGAAGAAACTCTTGTAGCAATTTAGCTGCCAGAATGTTAGGACTGATTATGTAGTCATCCAACATTGCTCTCTACGGTTTGTGCAAAGCTAGTATTGTTGAGGTCACTGTCATAGAAGCCAGTGCACACAGAGTCCCCACATACAATGCAACACCTCTTACTGTAAAGAGCAGCATAAAGTCCAACTCATTGTGTCAGGCATCACTGGAACACCTGAAGGCTTGCTGCTTTTTTCCTGATAAAAAAGGTACGAAACATGACATCCATTTGCAATCAGAGTTTGCATTGACTGAGAGCAAGCCCAAATAACACAATATGCGTCCTTTTAAAATTTTAATTATTTTAAAAGTTTTTGGGTCCTGCATATCTACATTTTAATCTCAAAGGCATTTTAAACCATGAGTACAAACACTGCAACTTTAATTTAAAGTTCACTGGAATTTTTTCAAATCTAAGTTTACAGTATTTAGAACTCAGAATAAATAAAATGTATAGTAACAAGAAAGATTACTTTCAGAAAGGAGGGAAGAGCACTTTTTCCTCTTTCTCTGCTATATATCTCTACCAGATACTTCTATCTTGCTTCTAAAGCAAACATTATTGGAGAAAATTTTTTTTTTGTTTTGGATAGAGTGGTCTCACTGGAGACACAGTAAGATTTTTAATTAAACTAACCAATGTTATTTTTTTTCATGTTTCATGCATAGATGGATTCTTATATATTTCTTAATATTTGGGTTCTGACGGTCAGGAAACTGCATTCTGTTTGTACCAGTTTTACAGTCTACCATTCAATTTGTGTCCTTTGGTAGATATAAACCTGAAAACACAGTAAGTGCTAATGCAATGGGACAACTCAAAAAAACTAAAAAATTCCAAATAGATGAGCAACACTGTTTTTAAACATAATACTTTAAAACTTGCTAAGTATATGAAAATCAAAATGTAGTGCTATAACTCCATGCAGACCTTAAGAATGTTTTTATATTGTATTAAATTCGCTATTTTCAGAATGCACTGTATTTCACAAAAGTTTGTGGTTTTTATAAAATAGTTTAAATTTTCTGTAAATATGAATTGTTTGTAGTGTTTGGTACATATGTTTTTAGGCAATTAAAAATACACAACCTTCACTCCTGAAAGGCAAATATTAAAGAATTATTTTAGGAATAATGGTTAAATCAATTAATGCCATGTAAATCAATAAATAAGAAGCGCTTAACCTAGAACTTTAAAAATAAGATTTTTAACATCTGAAGTCTAAGTAAATGCCAAAACACACAAGTATCTGTCTCTGGTCTCATGAAAATAAATGTTACAAAGACTCACACAGCCATTACTCTCAAGTAATCCTGAATCATTAGTTTGCTTTTGCGCTCCATCAGTGAAAAATACCTTAGATAGTATCTTTATTATACTGTAGGCTTACTTCACAAACAAATGGGGGTATAATGGTTTCAGTTGTATAGCACATGAAGCATCTATTTAGCAAGGAAGGCCCAAAAGCAGTAAGGAAATGAGACGTGACCATAACTTTAAAGGAAAAGCAAAAATGGTTTAGTTAGGTGTTACGCTTGGACCTATGTACAGATACAATGCCACTGCTCATGCCCTGAGTGCATCTGTCAGCATATGGCAGCTATGGAGCAAAACCAGAAAAACGCTTAAAAATTAAAAACAAACAAAACCAGGAACACAAATTTGGAAAGCCCAGGCCATAAAGTTATGTGTATGTCAAGATAAAAATCAAGAAACTTTGGGATTATTCACAATCTTCCTTCTAAACCTGGCCCTCCTATCCTGCCTCCTTCACTCGTTGGGTGGCTTGACTTCGCTGCTGGTTTCCTCTACCCCGTGAACTGCTCTGCCATGCATCATAGGGTAAGGAAAGGCAGCAGTGCCACAGCCATAACCAAGATCGGCAAGACGGGATAGAGCTTTAATGCTACCTGGAGGTCTCCCTGGGCTGACTTTGTATCCCGCAGCTTTAGTTGTACCCAAAGGTCTGCCTGGACTTGTCTTAAATCCAGCCGCTTTGGTGGTACCCAGGGGTCTGCCTGTGCTGGTCCGGTATCCCGCTGATTTGGTGGTTCCTGAAGGCCGGCCACGCTTACCAGATCGGTTGAGATTTTTCTTTTTTTTAAGTTCATCTTTTATCTCTATGTTTCTGCCACTCGTAGTCTGCAAGTGTGTTTCATTTAATGGGTCTTGCCTCTGACAAACCATTGGTTTGTGGCTGACTGCGTGACTGTATTTGTTTTGCTGGGAGGAATATATGTCAAACTGATCAGCAGCTCTCATGGCATCTTCATTGAGACAGGAAGGCTTGCCAGGCCCACAGAAAGCTGGATTACTGCTTGCAACGGGATGCATCATTTTCTACCAAAAATAAAAGACAAATATGCATAAATACACATATACAAATATATCTGTATGACAGCATTCAGTGAGAAAACAGTCTGTCTTCTAACAGCTACCCAGATTACCTAAAATTAGGCTGACAGGCAACATTCCAGACCATTTATAAACAAACATACATCAGCAGATTCAAAGATACTTCTTTTTCTCAGTTTAATCATGGGAAGGAACAAATGTCCCATTAGAATTCAATGAAGACACAGATTTAGGAGTCATAATTAGAAACTGGGAAAGTGCATAGGTAGAAAACAAATGTTACATTTTGTAGGGTTTTTTCCCTTCTAGATTATTAAACCTTCAAATACATAGTAAAGACAAAAATTCTATCATGGGGGCCAGCAAATGGCATGGTGGTTAAGGCACTGGACTCCCACATGGCCGACCACAGTTCAAGTCTCGGAACTGGTGGCTTGCTTTCTCACCCCCACCCCCTGCCGTCTCTTTCTGATCAAACTGGAAAATAATAATGATAATAATAAATAAAAGTTAAATAAAATACTTTAAAAAAAAAAATTCTATCATGATCATTTTTCCAGTTTGCCTAATTTTCTTAGAATACTTTTCTTTGGCCTTTTATATTTCTCAAATATGTACCTCTGATCTGATCAGTTTCCACAAGATGAAAATGCCATCATTATTAAAATTTATTATTTACACAGAACGATTAGTGTACATTACACTTGACAAAATATGCCCAGCAAAGAACACACTCTCTTGCCCCAAGGTACTGACTCTCTTCAAAAATACTCTACCCCCCAAAAAAAACAACTCTACCCAAATGGAAGGCAGTACCAATACAAAGGGTAAACAAAGGCTTCCATTAGCTGGAATGAACATTTATATAAACAGTTAATATTTATACTACAAAAATATGGACAACAACCATAATAAAACAGCTCATGGACCAAACAGTGGTATGGCGATTAGGGTGGTTGGATCCCCCATTGCGGACTGCATGGTTTAGGCCCTAAACCTGGTGGACTGAAAAACACACTAATACTTATGTGCCCAAAATCCCAAAAGGAAAAATGGAGGAGAAGGGATTGCAGTGTGACCATCTTTCTCTCTCTCTCTGCTTCTTTCCAGTGAGCGCAGACACAGTCTAGCAAATTAAGAAAAAAAAAAAAAAAAGGAAACACTTCTTACTTTAAAGGTATAGTTATCTAACAAAAAGCTGCATATAACACTACTTTCTCCCTTGATTATAAAACACAGAATGGACCTTCTCTTACAGGAGTCCTCCAACTTATTAACGATAGCCCAAAGTCTCTATTTTGTCTGTGAGAACAGACCCATCATCTTTTTCACTTTATAAACAATGGATTAAAACCACCAGGACAAGTCAGTCCTAAACAGTCTTACCAATTAGACATATGGGAAATGACAATTTTATGGAATATGTTATTATACTGCAATGAGATAAGAAAGATAGATAAAGATATGGGTTCCAATTCAGATTTAGAAAAAGAGTCACAAATGTATATTAGAAGTCTAGCCCCAAGTTGTAAGGAAATGCCTGCTTGCATCCTCCCTACATGGAAAATTGTACCAGGACCTGTTATGAAAATAGTTACTCCCAAAGGCCACAAACAGATAATCTTATGTCAGTTTATAAAGGCAAAAGGAAATGGGAATCAAGTCATAGAATCAATCTATATTAAATTACTAAATATTTGCTGAGAATCAGTGAATACAGAGCTGTTGGCCAACGGGATTAACAGTCTTTATGAAGGAAAAGTATCTACGAGAAGCTTTTTTTTTTCATGGCAGAAGCCTTATAAACCTGAGAATATAAAACAAGACCAGACTAAATACAAATATTAAAAGAACAATTTTTCATTCATTCCCCAAGGATAGAAGGAGAATTAGGTTATTAATTATCACTCCACTAGCTTGAACCTAATTTCGGATGAGAAATAAGAGACCCTCAAGATGAGTTCCAAATATAGTATTAGCAGGCAGTTAACAGTTTCTGAGTATTTTTCTAAGTGCCAGGCAATAAGCTTGGCACTTTGCACATTATTGGACTTAATCTTCAGTACAGGTCTATGAGAAACACTTTTCTTCTTTTATTATTTTTTGCCATAAGGTGTGCACTCATCCGAGAGTGAGCGAACGAGCGAGCGAGCGAGGCTAAGTGAGAAATCACCTGAGGGGGTCTCCTACAGTCTCTCAGGATTTGAGACCTACACACGCTTGGAGTGTTTTTCAGGCCACTGGGTGTGGGGCTCAAACACCTGTGGAGTTGGCCACATGGGATCCAGCGCCTTAATCACATTGCCACTTGCTGGCCCCAGAAAAAAAAAATATTATTATTAGTTCTGTTTTACAGAATCATAGGGATAGACTTTAAGCAACCTGCCAGAGTCAGTCATCAGGAAATGGTAAAGTCAAAATTTAAATTATCTAACTCTACAACCAACGATTTACAACCTAGCATACAGCCACTCCAGGGCCGTTCAAGGCAGCACTACCATTTCAGTCAGGTAATTCTTCGTTGTGCATTGTAGGGTGTATGGCAGCACCGTAACCTGTACCAACTACCAGGTGTCAGCAACAGCACTTCTCTCCCTCTCCCCAAACGTGTGACAACCAAAAACTTCCCCAGATACTGCCATTCCTGACCAGGAGAATCACTCAGCTATGTTAAAACGAAAACAAAACAAACAAAAAACCCAAGTGAAAATATATGTTTTTAAATTCACCTCTTTAGCGCTTCCATTTCCCAATATCCAGAAATCCTTTCTGATGGTAACACTACAAAGCTAAACAGCCTGTTTTCCAAATAGAAGAAAAGCTAATCTTTTTTTTTTTTTTTTTGAGAGATTTTCACTGTAGGGCACGTGCGCTCGCCAGACAGAGAGAGAGAGACATAGAGACAGAAAGTGAGAAATCACCCCCCAGGGGGGATGGTCATGCGGCAATCCCTTCTCCTCCATTCTCCTCTCGGGATCTTGGGCACGCACGCACAGGCGCCCGGCATGAGTTTTAAGCCACCGGGTCCGGGACACGAACCGCGGTCGACTACGTGGGAGTCCAGCGACATAGCCATTACGCTAACTGCTGGTTCCCAAGAAAAGCTAATCTTGAGATCTGGGAAAAGACCAACCACATTCTTCTGTCCTCCAATTTATAAGCTAATTGAGAAATACAGAGAGACTAGGTAGGAACCAAAAACAGTTTACTGCCCAAAAAATGGTATATGCCTGCCTAGAATAGGTATATGCAATGGAGAAACTATATGCAAACACAAGGAAAAGCACCAGACAACAACACGAGAAAAAGTGAACCCGTTTTTGAATCTTAATAATCAGTAACGAAGGGAAGAAAATATTTCTTCCAGGGACCAGCAGTTGGCATAATGGCTCTGTCGCTGGACTCCCACGATGTAGACTTTGGTTCGAGTCCCAGAGCTGGTAGCTTAAACTCATGCCAGGCGCGTGTGCGTGCGTGCCCAAGATCCCAAGAGGAGAATGGAGGAGAAGAAACTGTGGTGTGGCCATCCCCCCTGGGGGGGTGATTTCTTGCTTTCTGTCTCTCTGTCTTTCTGGCAAGCGCACAGACCCTTTAGCAAAAACCTCTGAAGAAAAAAAAGAAAAGAAAAGAAAATATTTCTTCCTACAATCTGACTCAACATTTTATAGTTCATGTTTTTCTAATTCCTATCCTTACAAAAACCTTCCTCTGGACCTTCTTTTCCTTACTTCATTTTCTCTTAATATTTTTTTAAATAATTATTTTATTTTTATTTATTCATTCATGTATTTTTTAATTTGACCAGAGAGAGACAGAGGTTGAGAGTGAGAGAGAGGAAGTGAGAAAGCAAGCCACCAGATTCAGGACTTGAACCCTAGTCGGCCATGTGGGAGTGTCCAGCTGGGTCCAGGACTGAAATGACTATCAGCCATGTGGGAGTCCATTGCCTTAACCACCACATCGCCTGCTGGCTCCACTATGTCATTCTTCTTTCTTTTCTTTTTCTTTCTTTCTTTTTTTTTTTTTTTTTTTTTAGATATTCTTGCTATAGGGAGCATGCACTTGCTGGAGAGAGACGGAGACAGAAAGCAAGAAACAGAATCCCACCCCCCCTCCCCTCTCCTCCCTCTCCACGGGGGCGGGGCAGCCCATGCCACAATCCCCTCTCCTCCATTCTTCTACCTGGACTTGGGCATGCACAAAACAAATGCCCAGCTTGAGTTTCAAGCCACCAGGTCCATTACTTGAACAGAGTGTGTGGTGTCTTAACCATTATGTCACCTGCTGATCCCCAAAAACAGATTTCTAAGCTCTAGGACACAAAAGAGTAATAGTTATGCTGTTTAATCCAGTGGTAAAACAATGAGATGCTAACTTAACATTTCTAAAGTGGATGTCTCTGTATGTTCTATATTTTCCTTTTCTGCTACTGCAAAGAAATCAGTATTCTGCTTACTCAATAACTAACAAACTGGACAAGAAATATACTATGACAATTACAGAAACAGTTAACTAGAAAAGGAAACAGAACTGAAACCAATTCTTTCCTATTTTCATACTACAACGTTAAGACAGAAATCTGCACCATTCAATCCTTGTGTACATAACCATCACATATATATTTATATGCAGGATATATATACACGTGCACATTCAGTATGTGCATTAACCTTACACTTCGTAGTGCCTGCCACCTCCTATTTCAAGGCCTGTCGGCTAAGTATTCTTTAAAAACACGTCCCATACGGAATTCATTGAAAAGATGAAGGCCACGTTTCCTAAGATTGCAAGAACGAATACCACATTTCTAGAAAGTACAGCCCAAATAGAAGCCAAGAGTTATAGAACAAACTGTAGACCAAAGATGAAAGATCACTTCTTAGAAAAGCCCACTGAATGGACGGGTTAAATAAGGTAAACAGTCTATGCTCCGACTGTGACTAAGCTGGCACTTTTGAAGCCTGCCATTCCTGAAGCGTTCCACTGGGTTTAACCCTCACCGGCTCTCCATGAGCCATTCTTCACGGAGCAACTCCCTCCCCTTCTCTTCCTGAACGTGGCAGTCAATTTAGTCAACATAAGAGATACAAGTATTTTTAGCAACTTCGCCATCCATTCACGAAGCTTTCTAAACATGGAGAAAGTCTTCCTTTCAAGAAATCCAAGTTCTATTCTCCTCCAGAGACCAAAACATCACATAGTTGTCAGAGATTTATTTCAGGGCATTTGGCTAAAACGACACAGTCGTGTTATAACCCTAAATAGAGCGTCCACCTGCGACCCACCTAATTCACTCTGAAAGTCTATTCAGCAAAGGCCAGGGGCTCCACACCCCGCCTCACCACGGAAAGTTTTGATCCCGGGACAGAACACAAATAACGGCCTCCTTTGTCTTTTTTCTACTCCTCAATCGTGCCCCTCGGCGCAGTTTCCCCATAGCTAGAATCCTAGTTAGACACGAAGCTTTTAAACGTGTATTACCTGCTGTGTGCCCGAACGCGACTATTTATGTTTTAGGATTAATAAGTTTACAGAAGCTACACGCCCACATCAGAGAAAATGTTGTGCATCCTCCGAAAATCGAAATTTGCAACCCGCCGTCCGTCCCCCCGGAGTTCTGCGAGCGTGGAAGTACCCAGGCCACCCCGGTCCAGCCGACCTCTAACCGGCAGGCTTTTACGAAGCGGAGGCTGGGAGGCTGGGAGGCTGGGAAGCTGGGAGGCTGCGGCTGACCTCCCGAAGAAAAGAAAGGGTGGCCCCTCCCCCCGGCGCCGGCACTCCCCCTCCCCCAGCAATGGCTCCA